AGCACCGGGAATCCATAACACTAACATCGCTCCCTAAATGTTATTCACAGGGGAAGTGCAGCACTTTACACTTTGTAAAGAAAATCTTTCCGGCAATGACAACTGTCTGACAAGAAGACAGTTGGAGGCCCAGTGAGGAGGGAACTCCCCGCCACTCTGGCTGAGATCAGAGGTCCTTTTGTCAAGGGTGTGGGAAGGGGATTCCTGCTCTGCGCAGGAGTCGGCTGAGGTTGGGCTTCCCCTCCACAGCTATGGGATTCTAAGGAGGAGTCCCAGAGTGCTGGGTTCAAATCCTGCAATGCCCCTGACAACTCCGTGGACTCAGGCGAGTTACCTAATCTCTCTGTGCCTCCATTTCCTCATCTGTAAAATGGGGGGGGTGATAACAATGAGAATGCAATACGTTAACGTTTATAAAGTCTTTTGGAACATGGCCTGACACAAAGTACTCTGTGCTGCTAAATAAGTAAGGCAGAGCAGGTCCCTATTGTAAGGTTATAAATCCCAGATCAGATCACACGAAGACTCCAAGTGTCAAAGGTCCTGAGGTGGAAAGCTCCTCAGATGCTACGGTTCTGAGATTGGAAGAGACTGCGATTCTTAGATGCCATGATTTAATCATCTTATTATTTCCTAACGACAGCCCACAGCCTCCCGGGGAAGGAGAGGACAGAGCTCAGGGGCCCTTCATCTCCCAGGTGCTGCCCCATAGCCAGGGTCAGCGCCATCCCTGGGTTCCCCGGCATTTCCTCGCCTCCACTAAAGCCCCCGCCGTGCCGTGCTGGAACCACCTGCCCACTTGTCCACATGGGGTGGAGGCAGGTTCAGCAGTGTAGATAGGCAAGAAGTGCAAATAAACAAATCAATGAGAAAGCTTCAGGTACTGATAAGAGCAGCAAGAGAAACTGGACAGGGCACTGACATGAGAGTGTCGGGAAGTGGGAAGCTATCCCAACGCAAGTGGTCAGGGAAGGCCCTCGGTGGAGGCGACCTCTGAGTGGCAACTGATGAAACAAGAAGGTGCTGGCCATGCACACATCTGGGGAAGAGTGTTCCAGGTGGAAGATATGCAAAGGCCCTGCCAACAATCTGGACATTCAAGGTGCAGAGAAAGCAGCTGCTGTGGTTGGAGGTGGTGAGCCTGGGGGCTGGGCAGGGGAGCAGAGGGGTGGGCAGGCCCAGCCAGACCATGAAGGGCATCCATAGACTCCGCAAAGGACTTTGGATTTTTGTTCCTCAAAATGCCCTGGAAACATCTGAAGAATGTCAGCAGGGGAATGACAAGCCCGGGCAGGGCTTTCAGGGTCCCCAGATTACTTGGCTCATCCTGAAAACAACATGATGGTTTTCAAAACTCAAGGTGGGGCCTACGGTGGTGATCAACAATCCCTATCATTCAGTTGGTGTATTCTGAGCTCCTACCACATGCCTGGCCAGGGCTCAGATACATCCCACATACTCTCGTTATCACCCCCTACACGGAGAGATTCACATTATACCCATTTTAAAGATCAAGAAACTGAGGTTCAAAAAGGGGAAGAGTGTGCCGAAAGTGACACAAGCCATGTACCATCCAGTGCAAACTGTAAAGTCTGATCCACAAATGGGACTTGGTCCCAGGACCCGAATCCACCATCATGACAGTCTGTGGAACTAACTCTTCTGGTATTTTCAAACCAAGAGACCTCCCCCATGACACATGTAGGTGCCCACAAATACTGCCCTGGCTGTGCTCCCCCCACCTGCAGTCTTCTTCCCTGTTGGCTTCAGAGCCCGGGAGGACTGTCCTTGTACCTCACATGGCTGTCCAGCCTGTGCTGGGTGAGCTGGAGACCAGATGGATGGAAGGACAGAAGGATGGACTACTGAAATGGCTAACCACTAAACTAACAAGTGGACAATGAAAAGAATAAAGGAATGATCTAGAAAACCAATGAATGAATAAACTAACTAATGGCTAGTGGAAGGAAGGAAGGAAGGAAGGAAGGAGGGAGGGAGGGAGGAAGGAAGGAAGGAAGGAAGGAAGGGAGGGAGGGAGGGAGGGAGGAAGGGAGGGAGAGAGGAAGGACGGACTCTGCTTTAGAGAGAGGCAGGGCAAGGAAGTGTCTGCCCAGAGAAGGATGGGCCAGGCTGGCTTTAGACCCAGTCCACACGTCACCCCCACACCAGCTTCCTCTCCACCTGGGGCCATCTTGCCTCCATATCCCAAGCCCCTGGGACACCCCGTCTCTGTGAGCGGCCGGCTACTGTAGCACCCACTACCCATCACCAATCACCAGCAGCAGCAATCACTGCCGCCCAGGGCCCAGTGGAGCTTAGCGGAGGGTGGAGTGGGTCACTCTCCCTCTGAGTTTCTTGTAGAGGAAGGGAGACGAGCCCAGGCCTCTGGTCCTAGGTGGGACCCAAATTGCTGGGTGACTTCAAGCCAGTGGCTTCCCCTCTCTGAGCCCAGATAACCTCTCAGGGCCTTTTCAGTTCTGACATTCTGTAGGGTTGGGGACTCTAGATTTTTACACAGTCCCTGGGTCAGCAGAAGAATTTGAGAGACTAAACACCAGAAGGTGGGGAAAAGCCCTATCTACAAGCACCAAAGCCCACCTAGAAAAAGACCTGGACAAGGAGTTTGGAGGCTTGTGTTTAAGTCCTCCTCTGCCACTGCTCAACCTCTCCAAACCTCAGTTTCCTAAATTTTGAAATGGGGTTAAATATCCCCACCTCAACAATTTCACCCCAAGCAAGTTTCTGGGGGAGCCTGATGTGATAATAACCATGCACTCCACTGTGCAACCTGCAAAGTTCCATTCACAAGGAAGGATTATGCTGGCCCGGGGCGGGGGGGGGGGGGGGGGGGGGGGAGGGAAGTGAAGGGGGACATGCTGTCCCATTCCAGTTTTGTCCAGATTGACTCTTCCAGGAGTCAGGGCCTGCACAGAGAACAGTGGAGAGAGCCCAGAAGTGGGAGCCTGAACATCAGGGTCCCTATCTTAGCTCTCCTTCTAACTGGCAGTGAGACTTTGGGCAAATCACTCCCCCGCTCTGGACCACAGTTTCTCCATCTGAAAAATACCTAGCTTGGTACCCTCTGGCCCAGGCATGCCAAGTTCTGCAACCCTGAACCCCTAAACCCCAGCCTTCGATCCCTAACTCTGCTCTCAGGAAGCTCACATTGTCCTGTGGAGCCAGGATACAAACCAGGAGTGAGACTAGAGGGGTCTCCCCTCCAGGAGATGCTGGGACAGGGGCTAGAAGGGTTCAGGGTCCTCCCAGGACAAACTTTCCCAAAGGAGTAAAGACCAGGCCCAACCTGCCTGATGCTTTGGACAGCGCCAGACCTTTGGGCCTGGTCTTGAGACCCTCCTGCCGCCTCCAAAGCCAGCAGGCTCTGACCTGTCCAGCAAGATACTTAAGTAACTTCACCGAAGTCCAAACTGCCTCCAACAGAGGAGGCTTCAGGGTGCGGGCAAGAGTAGCAGAAAAGGTTAGAAGGGCACCACCAGGGAGAGGCTCACACTAGCAAACGAGTGCCCCCCTCAACCAGGCAACCTCTCCTCCCCCTCCCCTCAGACAAGACCCACTGGGGCCCCTAGCCTACACCCTGACAAAAGCCCACCACCCAGGGGCATCTGCCACCAGATGCCACCTCCAGAGGCCAGGAGGCCCACCAGATCAAAGAAGGGGCTCTCCAACTGCCAACCGCCAAACACACACACTTGCCGGAGGGCTCCAGAAGCCACTCCAGCGCCCAGGGCATGATTCCCGCCTACAAGGGAGCCCCCCCACCCCCCTCCCCCGGCCACCCATAAAGGAGACGGCCCCCTCCTCCCCACACACACACTGTTCCAGGGCAGGGCAGGGGAGAGCAAGATTATTTCCTCATGCCAGGGGTCTGAGCTGGAAACCATGGGCCCACTCAGAGCCCCTACTGCCAGCCCTCTCCCCCAAATCTGAGGATCTAGTTCCTTACAATGCCATTTTTATAGAGCCTTTTCCAAAAGACACTTCCTGGTCCCCCCAAGTCCCCATCGCCAACCCTCCACGTGCCCCCCGCAGCTCTGAGGAAACCGGCAGTTAACTTTTTCCCAAAAATCCTGCAAAGGCGGCTGGCTGGGGGGAGAAATGGGCCCCGAGATCCTTTCGCGGCATTTCACCGCCTTCCAAAAAAAAAAAAAAGAAAAAAAGAAAAGAAAAAAAAAAGAGCTTAAAAAAAAAAGAAAACTTTCGGAGTTAACTTTAAATTCCCAGCCCTCCCCCCCAAATCGCCCAGCGGCTTCTTTTTTTTTTTTTTCTTTAAAGTGCAATTGCATTGTGTCTCACCTCCCCGAAAGGCTCGCGGCTCTCGCCAAAGAAAAGGAAAAAAAGCCAACCCTTCGGGTGCCCCCTCTGCTTCCAGCCGCCTCTCCCACATTCTCAGACAGTTTTATTAAAATTTTCAGACAAAAGAAAAACAAAAATGGCAGCCTGGCTTATTTTTAAAACAGGACAGGGACGCCATATTCTGCAGATCTGCAAAAAAGGGGAGAAATCCGGCACTGGCCGCTCCACCGGGCCGGCTGCAAAGTGCGCGAACCGCGCCGTTTGCAATCCGTTTATTTGCATTAAGCCCCATGAATCATTGTTTATCGGAGAATTGCAGCAGGTTTGAATAGCCCGGCTTAAGAAAACACACAGACACACACACACGCACACGCACACAGACACACACACACACACGCACACGCACACACTCGGAGAGCAGACCCAGACACGCCGCCGGAGACACTTCCTACCCGCGCGCCGCCGCCGCCGCCGCCGCCGCCGCCGCTGCTGCTGCTCCGGGCCGGGCCCGAGGCGCAGGCAGCCCCGGGCCCTCGGAGCGCCCCGGCCCGCGCTGACAGCGCCCGCGCCCGGCCCGCGCCCCCGCCCCCGCCCGAAACTCGGCGCAACTTTCCCGCGGGCGGGCGCTCGGGCGGGCGTCCGCCGCCGCCGCGCCCGCTCCCCGCGCGCCCCGGGCCCGCACGGACCTGGCTGTGCTGGCGGCGGCTCCGGGACGCGGCCGCAGCCCCGCGCCCGGCGGCCCTTGCAGGGCCGGGCTGGGGCTCCGGCTCCGGGCTCCGGCTCGGGCTCCGGCTCGGTGCGGAGCCGCGCGCAAACCTTCCGGGTCGCCTGCTGTTCACTTCTGGGTTCTGCAAGCGCCGAGGCGGCGGCGGCGGCGGCGGCGGCGGGAGGCTGGGTCTGCAGCGCCGCGCGGCCCCCCGTGCGCTCGGCGAGCCCCCGCGCCAGGCGCCCGGCTCCGGGGGTGGGGAGGGGGCCGCGTCGGGCCCCCGCCTCTCCGGCTGCGCAGCCCGTCCGGCCCCGGGGGCTCCCGCGAGTGGGCAGCGCCGGGCGCGGGCGACGGCGCGCGAGGGGAGGGGGCCGGGCGGGGGGCGGGGGCGGGCCGCGCGCTGGGGGCCCCGCTCGGGCCCCGGGGCCTCGTCTCGCGCTCGCCGCCGCCGCCGCCGCCGCCGCCTGGTAAAGTTGCGCCGCGCCCCCCACCCGCGCCGCGCCCGAGGCAGAGCCACAAAGGAACTCCTCGCCCCCCTCCGCCCGCCCGAGCCGCGCGGGGAGGGCACCGGCGCCGGGCCCTAGGCCAGCCCCTTCCCCAGCGCGGGGGCTCCCGGGGCCCCGGCGGCCGCGGCCATTGTCCCGCCCAGGCCGGGCCGCCGCTTCGCCGCCCCCTCCCCGCGGTGATGGCGGGCTGGGGACCCAGGTCCGGCGGGGCCAGGCTGCCCTTGGGGGGGGAGGGGGTCTCCTGCGCAGACGGCAGGCAGGAGGGGACCCCCGGAATGGGTCCCCACACCTGGTAACCAACGACCGTGCTCAAAATCCCCGCTGAGATTTGTTGTTGTTGTTGTTAAGACGAGGACATGGAGATGGGGGCAGAAGTTTGTACTGGCCAGGCCACCCCTCCCTGTGTAGGCTCCGGCCGTCCCTGGCCCTAGGCCCGAGCCCCCAAAGGGTGGGGCCGCCTGAGGCTGTCAGCGGCTCTTCTCGCAGAGTCTTAACAGAGGTGGCACCGGCTGTCCCCCAGCTCCAGACCTCAGAGCCATCTGCGTGTGACTCCTCCTCCCGCCTCACCCTCCCCAGCCAATCAGTCACCAAGTCCTTCGGATTCGGCCTCCCGGGCTGTGTCAGCTTCCAAACTTCACTTCTACCTGAGGAGGCGTCCGGTCCCTGGGTCCTTTCACCGACTCAGACTTCTGTGACACTCACTGCCACCCAGCCTCTAGGCCAGAAGAATCAAGGCTGGCTCTGCCCTCAGGGAGCTCCCAGTCCCCAGGGAAGGACAGACACACACACACACACACACACACACACACACACTCACCTGCCCGTGTTTGCTGGTCCTCCAGAAAGCATTCCAGCATTCCGCAGTTGGGTAAACAGTGATTGAGGACCTGGGATCCCACGCTGTGGTGATTGGCTGGAAACCCAGCTATGAACAAGTTGGACGAAGTTCCTGACCCCATGGGGAGTCCAGTCTTGCACAGGACGTGGAGGCTGTGAGCCACTGGAAGACAGGGCCTACCTAGGCCACTGGTTTTCAGGCCCCAAGCACAATACCAGCACAGAGCGGGGCACAAAACATAGCGTGGCCGGAATTAGTTGGATTACAAAGCACAAGGAAGGGGCAGGGAGGGGAGCAGTGGGGAGGACACAGAGGAGGCCACTCTTTCTCAGGAGGTGGAGAAGGTCTTCTGAAATTAGATCTGGGGTGAGCCAGGTGAGGAAGAAGGGAGGACCTTCCCATTTCCACGAAGATGGGGGTGATCAAAGTATCAACCCACTGTGGAGAAGCTCAGGGAGATAATAATAAATGAGAAATCTCATGCAAAAGAATTCAAAATAATTTATGGAGATATTCAAGGAGGGGGAGCAAACTCTAGGCTCTTTAGGTATGGCTATGCCTAATGACTTCCTTCCAGAGTGTACAGTATGGAAAGGGAGGGCGAAAAGAGTCACTTCACAGTGGGGATATCTGACAGCTACTACTTCAGCCGGGTGATCAAGGCTAACACCAGCAGTCACAAACCATGTTTTCAGTAGCTACCCTTGATACTAGTGATAAAAGTGGCACTTTAGGGGCACCTGGGTGGCTCAGTCGTTGAGCGTCTGCCTTCGGCTCAGGTCATGGTCCCAGGGTCCTGGGATCAAGCCCCACGTCGGGCTCCCTGCTCAGCGGGAAGCCTGCTTCTCCCTCTCCCACTCCCCCTGCTTGTGTTCCCTCTCTCGCTGTGTCTCTCTCTGTCAAATAAATAAATAAAATCTTTAAAAAAAAAAAAAAAAAGTGGCACTTTACCTCTATGGTCTTCCTCCCAATAACCTATAACACCAGTCTTGTCATGAGAAAAACATCAGACCAACTCAAATAGTGGAACAACCTAAAAAATGCTCAACTAACACTCCTCAAAACTGTCGAGGTCATCACAAAGTAAGTCTGAGAACCTGTTAAAGCCCAGAGGAGCCTAAAGAGACAGAACAGCTAAATGTACTGTGGTATCCTAGGTAGGATCTTGGGACAGAAAAAAAGACATTAGGTAAAAACTAAGGAAATCTTAATAAATTACAGATTTTAGTTAATAGTAATGTATTACTAAAAGTATTCATCAGTAATTATAACAAAATATAACAAATACACTAACTTAAGATGTTACCAATAGGGAAAACTGGGTGAGGGATATATGGGAATGCTCTGTAGTATCTGATCCATTTTTCTGTAAATCTAAAACTGTTCTAATAAAGTCTACTACTAAGAAAAAAAAAATCCTAAAAAAGTATACTAACCCACATCATTGTTGATGTTGTTGTACAATGAAATGATGCTTGACACAGCACCTAGCACATTCTAAGGGCCCAACAAATGTTATTTTGTTACTATTATCACCATCATTGTAATTACAGGCACTTGGAGTAGCACATGCAAAGGCACTGGAGTTTAGAGTGGAGAGGGTGATGGGAGACAGAATCCTGAAGGCTTTGATCCTGAAGCTGAGGTCTTTATAAGGGATTTATGGGCAGAGGGTACCATAATGTGGTCCATCTCTGCCTCACTAGCCTCCTGTCTAACCACCTGGAAAGCTATGCTACAGCCAACCAAAGTGGGCTGCCATCTTGGACCTGGCCATCTCCCTTCTAAGGGCTTCGAACAGGCTGTTCCCTCTGCCTGGGACCTTCAGTCCTTTTCTCCCCATCTCTGAAGTCTCTGGAGAACACCCACTTATCAAGGCATGGCTCAAACATCACTTCCTCTGTGAAGCTGTTCTAGATCCTCTGCATGGAAAGAGGTACTTTCCACTGGTTCCCAAGAGCACCATGGTCCTCCGGCCATACTGCTGGCAAAGCACTTATCATGATGCATTAGAATAAATGTTTGCTGAATGGATGGACAAATGATGGAGTGGACTAAAAGTCCACTCTCATCCTCTCCAGTTCTTCAAGTCCTCATTCTCTTCCAGGAAATCCTCCAGGACTGCTCCAACCAATGAGCTCCCTCCGCCTTCTTTAACTTTTACAGCCCTGGTTACATTCTAACTGTTGTATGTATAAGTATCTGTCCCTTCGATGAGAATAAACTCTTTGAGGAAGAAACCATGTCTTACATGTTCTGTGTTTTCACTCATTCAACAAGTATTTACAAAGCACTTCTTCTGTGTCACAGTTAGGGTCCCAGACACCGGAGAAGCAGTGACTAAGAGCCAGGCCCCGCTCTGATAGAGCATTAGTGAGCATTAGTAATTAGTCAAGATACACCAGATTATGCTGCAGTAACAAAGAACTCTGGAACCTCAGTGACATAACGAAAGAGTGGTTTCTTTCTCACCTGTGCCACATGCCCATCCTGGGTCCTCTACTGGCTCAGAGAGCTTGGCTGAGGAGTCCCTAACATCTTGAAGCTGCACCCACCGAATGAAACACGTGCCCTTTTTAGTTCCCACGGCAGGAGAACAGAGACTGGAGAATCCCACACGGCATTCAGCCTGGCGCGGGGTGGCGCGGGAGTGGGGGTGGGGGTGGGGGGTGGAGATGGGACACACGCACAGCCTCGCCTCAGTATCCATTGGCCAAGATGAGTCACGTGGTCCCGCCCAACTGCAAGGGAGGCTGGGAAGGGCAGCGTTCCTTTGGAAGAAGAGAAGCAGACGTTAATTTCAGGAGCCAGAGTTTAACAAATAATCCCTCAGATAATTTTATGTCTCCTAAGAGATGCAAAAGATGTGAGATGTCTGGGGAGTGGGTAGGAGAAGATCAGGGAGAGCTTCTCTGAGGAGGGGACGTTGAAGCCGAGACCAGGGAAGAGATGGGACGAGAGCATTGCTGGCGGAGAGAACTGTGTGTGGAGGTTCTGGGACCAGGACGAGCTGGCCGTATTGAAGGGCCACAAAGGACCATGGAGGGAGTGAAGTGAGGGGGACTTGCGAAGTGACCCTCCGGGCTGAACGTCCCAGGAGCTCCCTGGCAAGGAATTAGCTTGAGAACAAGAGGAAGTCATAAGGAGACAGGCGTTAGGCAGAGACGTGATGTGATCGCATTTCATTTCAAAAGGCCCATGTGGCTGCTGGGGAAAGAATGGACTGGAACGGGCAAAGCAGAAAACCAGGGAGGCCAGTAGGGAGACTTTCAGAGTCTCCCAGGTGAACAGTGATGGTGGCGTTAGCAGAAGTGGAAAGAAGTGGACAAGTGTGGGACACGTGAAGGACTTGATGGCTGATGCAGGGAGTTACAAAGCAGGAGAGGTCCAGGCAGCTCCGGGGCCCTGTAACTCCGGTCATGCTAAGCACAAGGCTGGCTTCCCAACATAACATCCCCAGCTTGCTCACAGTGGGACCTTAATGCCAAGAGATTTCCATCTTTCTCTCCTTGCCCTCTACTCAAGCTAGCCACCTTGTCATCCTCCAAATGGGGTGTACCTCCCATCGGAAGTAATCCGACCTCAAGCATCAGCACAAGCACTTTCTAATAAGAGCCCACAGGAGCCCTGGGAGGGAGGCTGGCCAGGGATGTTATCCCCCATTTCACAGGGGGGAAAACTGAGGCCCAGGAAGGAAAAGGGCTGGCTAAGTCTTGGGGCCTGGCCTGCAGCTGAGGTCCTCTGACCCAGGGTCCAAAGCCCCTGGTGTACGGGGGTGCTATGTGCTGTCAGCTGAGACACTGAATGAGTGAGTATGTGAGCTCTCTGCCCTTCACCCTCTTCACCTTTGCTCATTTTGCTCCCCTCAAGGAGACCATGGAGTTTAAGATGATAGATTAGGTTCTAGAGTCCAGTCAGAGCTGGGTTGAACCTTGTCTTGTCACTCAGCGGCTGCTAATTTA